TTGCGCACTGCTGTAATATGCTTGTGGGTAATGTGGCCGAGCTCCACAAATCAATGTATGGATGGATGAAAGAAGTTTATTATGTCCGATAGGTCACGCTACTCTCCTAACCCAAAGCGGGCCGCTCCCATGGTGCACGTTGGGACCGCAAGACAGACCCTTTTAGCTGCTTCGCGAGCCAGTGTGACCACCCATAATTATTACTTTATTGTAAAACTGCCTAATGCTGCGTCCCACCTTAAGTATGTAAAGAAAAGAATAAATGAACGAACGATAGAACTGCATACGCCTGCACAATAGAATTCGTGGGTTCTTCTGACTAGATTTTTAGAGCTCGCTTTGAATAAAAAAACTACTTAGTGATTACATGGGGTAGTGCTGAAGATATCAATGAAATGTGTACGTGCAGCTCTGCCAAATCACAACGTTTCTCAGAGCATAGAAAACTACATTTTCACACCGTGTACATTGGGTATTCTCTGCAGTGGCCCCGTCTAAATGCAGTCAATGATTGGAACTTCGTATACGAGGAAGACAAGATTGATCCGTATTTAAAGGCTAGTACGCCCACTCAGTTTAGCCTCTGCGTGTTTGTTCAGTGACAAAAAAATAAGCGCTGAAATAGGTGTCAAAAGACACAAACAGCTTCTTCTTCTTCAAAGGAGTTGCAACTTGCTTCTTAGTGTTGAAAATGGTAAATACCGCATTTCTATACCCACTTACGCTGTAACAGCTTGCGCTGTCCAAGCCGGTACACACACAAAAAAAAGAAAGGAAACAGCGAAAGCGAGCCGCATCATCCATATGTATGGACTCCGTTTGTTTTCTGTTTACTCAAGCCCATGGTGTGGCATCTCTTCAACTTTTAACGTCGGTTCTCTTGAGCAGAGAAGCTTTGTGTGACGCGGATTCATTGCTGCTGCGGTTGACTTTTCAAGGGTGGCCTGGCGTAGGAAAGAAAAAAAGAACAGCGAAATGCAGTTATATAGTGTGTGGAGTCACCAGCCGATAGAGCATGAATGACACGATTCAAGAAGAAGAAAGAGCGCTCAAGAAACACGACAGATACCTTTTTCAGGGTTAGTAATCCTCAAAAAGGGAAAAGGCAACTGCTTTCCATGAAGTTTGCTCTTTCATTACTTGCTATAGACGCCGTCAAATGTGACCAAAAAAAGCAGTACGTACGAAAAATGAGCGACAAAAACTCCTTACCAGTTATGAGGTGTTTTATTCATTCTTTGCAGCTGACATTGCTTTTCATTGACTCATAGAGGCTTTACTTTCAATTTCGAGGAGGTCGTGTTTGTTTCTTAATATTAATATCTGGCCCTCTATCTACTCACAATACGATTGCTGAAACTAGGTTTTTCAATGTGCGCGCGCCCTCCGCTGCTTTTTAGGGTGGAGACAGCACTGTCGTCTGCTTCGGTGTCTGCCTTTAACACACCTTCTCCGCGATCTTTAATCTTAAACGAATCTTAGATCGACAATAACAGAGACGAGAAAGAAAAGGCAAACTACAGCTCTGTTGTCGTCCCTGTTATTGTGACGCTATTATTTGTGTAAGATGGAAGTGCACCATCTCTCCCAACAGTCCCTTTTGATGCCTTCTCCTTAAGCTGCGTACAGCCACGATGGACAGCCAACGGGTGTCTCGCGGCTGCATACAGAGTTTCTTGTGTGAAAACACGTGGTACTCAAGCAACATGAGAGAAATACAGTTTCCGCATCGGGAGTGTGAAAGTCTCACATTTCTATTCCATATTTTTGATTTTTAAAGCGATATCAGCAGCTGAAGTTGCTCGCAGCAGAGAACTATCGTTCACGCCAGCCACGTTAGCACCTTCAATAAGCACCTTCAGGAACTATTAGGCAACTATTTATATAAGAAGATGTAAAAAAACGCGAACCAGGTCCCATGACCTTTCATTGTGTTTGTGCGTTGTGTGCCTTCCGCAAAAGTATAAAAGCAGTTTGCCAGCTAGCGGTAAAAAAAGAACGAAGAACTGCGTGCTGTCGTGACAAAAGAGGAAAACTATGATTGCGCACCATGTTTTTGTATCTTCTCTTCGAATTAGTCATCATCTACCTCATTTATAGACGACACCCTGCAATGCACAGTATTTTGAATTGGGTTTTCATCTCTTTCACGGTACTGCAAGCGGCCGACTGAAAAAAGTGGCTAAAAGCATATATATTATTACGTGCTCTACATGGCGCTTTCTTGCATTAAATCATGACTCGCACGCAGCCATTAAGTAGGGAACCAAGTTTAGTGCCTTTTCCACAATAATGTGTTGTAAACTAGCAATTGTTATAAACCTGTCATTAATATCGTTAAAATGAAGAGAGAAAACCACTTAGCAACAATTAGAAAGTCAATTATTATCATCATATGGCAATTTGGGGTACCGCAGCTTTATTTGAACGATACTTTTAATATATACTTAGAAAACAAGTGCTACGAGTCACTGCAAGTTGACCGCAGCGCCTGGATTGCTTCCCATATCACTGGTTCTCGTTGTTCTGTACTGGAGCAGATAAATGCGTAGCATACTCGTGCATAACATGATATCAACAATTTTTCCGTAGAATTGTTGCTGGCATGCCTGCACGCTGCACTTGTCTTCTTGGATTAAATATTCTGTTACAGCTGTGAGAGCGGACTTCAGGGGGAACAGGTTGTCTGTCCAGGATGTGATTCGTTTAAACAGCTCTTCAGAAGATATGACCGAGCTCATAACCTGACCATTCAGATAACAGACGTTCTCACCATCCAGAACATTCAGTGCAGGTAAATAGCATGTTCATGGCTCACCGAGCCCTGAGTTGCAGGCTTGCACCTGCTCTCAGTCCATTATTGTCAATATTCCTTTTTCCCAAAAAATACTGCGCGAAACGCAGCACTCTGTTGAAGTCAACGCTTAAAAGTATAGAATTTTCCCGCCATCACAAACTTCATTTTATTCGCCTAACAATTTTCGACTGCATAAGATGCTTGGCTGCATATTACTTTCAAGTGTAAAGAAGTTTTTGACTCTGAAAAAGCATGCGGGCATATGAAGAGAAGCTTCGCAATTTTCCCACTCCCATCTGCTCTCGGACTTCCTGCCCTCTGATTTACTTCTAAGCGGGCTTGGCTTTGTTAGCCAGCACGTGGCGAGGAAAATGGCTCTATCCAGAGGCTTGTAGGTGCATTAGTATGCATTGTCAAGGCCGTGACAGGCTCGTTTCTTCGGCGACGTCATGTTTAGAGAAAGCTGCTACAATGCACCCTTCGCCACTAAAAAAAAATTACAAACAGCCAAGAAAACATAGACACCTATGTCTTCCTAGCAGATATTACACCAAGTAAAAGGCAAACAAAAAACGCTTTGCTTAGAAACAATGTCAAAAATAAAAATTCCTTAAGCAGCTGGCGACTCGCCGGTCAAAACACGTTGAGCCTCACCAAACTGGCCGCATGATTGATTGATTGATTGAACGTTTATTATCATTTGTCACATGAGGTTTACAAACACTGATTGGACCCATAGCCTGAGGCTAGTGTAGGGTCCAATGAGAAAAGTAATGGACAGAAGCGGGAAATATCAATTACACATAATACATATACAGACACTGTAAATATACACATATACAGAGCAGAGAAGTGTTTCTCTTCTTAAACAATCTGGTCACACCAAACAAAACTGCATGTGTGCATACAAAAAGTTATGACAGATAACTTCGTGGACACACCCAAAAACATCAGTTAAAATACTAAAGAACATAAAACTATCACAAGTTTTAGTTAGAAGGGAAAAGAAGAAAAAAATGCTAGGTTTACAAGATTCACCATCGTATATTTATACAAATGTAAGTGCTTACCACCAAAGAAAAAGAAGTATTTACAGCTTGCTCAAGAATTGATTTTTTAGTTTTACCGCAGCATTGTGTGATGTCTTCAGTTCAGTGGGCAAACTATTCCAGATCTTTATCCCTGTGAATTGCCATAATCTCTCACCATACACGTTCTTTCTTGGCGCCAAGTTAACGTTACCGAACGTCAGGCTTCTAGTAGAGCGGGAAGAGGAATAAAATAACGAGACATCCAATGGGTTATTGTATTTTACGATACTGTTAACGCAAACGGTCATCTTATAGTCACGCAAAAGATCGAAGGGTAGTATTTTTAGCGATCAGAATAACGGCCGGCTTGGCTCGTTGTACTTACTCTGAGTTATTATTCTTATTATTCTGCAGGCGAAGCCAATGAGTGAATAAGAAAGAAGAGAAAGAGCGTCGTTTTCATCTTAAGAAAACAGTAGCAGTGAGAAACTATTCTTCGACGACGAACTGACAGTATGCGTGCTTTCAATATGATGTCACACAAACAAATAGCTGAAGGCAGCGGTAGCAACTAGCGCACATCGTACATCTGCAACTAGCACGGAACTGCAACTTGTGTACGACAAGCGATTAGGAAAAATGCATTTGTGCCATCCAAAATGAACGAGTTCGATACGCATGTACATAGTCTGCAAATAAACGTTTGACTGAGGCTATACGCACGACGTAGTCTGCAAATAAACGTTTGACTGAGGCTATACGCACGACGTCGTGTGGACCATCCGGAAGTGGCTATACGCACGACGCGACTGTTGTGCCACCCCGTGACAAGTTTGTGAAGCTTTTTTTTTTCTTCCCCGACGGCGCGAAACTGGCGAACAGCCGGCGAACCAAACGCCGCTCGCCAGCGTGTTTTGCGGCGCTTCTTCCCTAGCCGGCCGCGTCGACGCTCCCGTTTCGCTCAGCGCACTAGCAGAGAGAAATTGAAGCGATCTTGGTGCGCCTGTGAGCACCTTGCGTTCTATGTCATGGTATTGCGGGCATTGCAAGGACAAGTACGATGGTGCATTGAACATGATCTGCTGTGACCAATGCCTAGAGTGGTACCACTGGTAAGCATGTGATTTTACAAATGTGTTGAGTCATGCTTACAGCAAATTTTTTCTTGGCAGGTCTTGCGCAGGAGTACAAGAAGAAGATCTCGGCTGGCACTGGTTTTGCCCCAAGTGTTCAGGCACCGCGTGATGGAAAAGACAATGCAAATGTGGAAGTTCAAGTAAAATCAGCTTCAACTTACTCATGAGTCCCAATAAAATCTGAATGCATACGTAAGCTTGTATGCCCCAACGTCTTTCTTTTTGTCAAGCTGGTGGCCGCCGTTGAAAATAGGGAGTCTTAATAAGTACGGATGGTAATAGTTGCATTCATTAAGAACGCTTTCAGTGTCAGTCGAGCCCACTGTAGAGATTTGTGCAACGTTGATGCTGGGCAAACGTAGCTCCAAACAGCAGGTATTAATTTGGCACTTGTAGGACAGTGTGTTGGCATAAGCGCGTTCAGGGTCCCACATGAAGGGAGCCAGTTCTCATTGGAGAAACCCCCTCCACTAATCCCAACTTCGAGAATTACCCCAGCACTAATTTTCTCCCCTAGCAAGAAAAAATCGTTCGTAAGGTGCCTCATTGACTCTTGCAGAGCCATGTGTCAGGAAATTTGCGTTCCGCGCGTTCGTCTGGAGGCGAGCATCAATCTCGGCCTCCTGCGCATGCCTCAGTCGATCGTTCAAGAAAGGTACAGACCTGAGTACAAGAGAAACTGTATTTTGGATTGAAGTCACTCCACTTCGATGTCGAAAAGAAAGACGAAACGTGCATTGTTCCCCCGTAAAACACTCGCTAAAATGCAACAAGGTGTGCGTCACACCTTGATCTGGTACTGAAACCACCGCTGCAACCGCCGCTGCGAAGGACTTAGGAGCACTGCCACGCACTGCCCGAACTTCATATGGAGGAGGTCGCACTCGTGACGGCCATAATCACGTATCGAAGGGCTCGAAAGCACTGCCCGAACGTTGGCCCGAACTTCGTGGACGATGCCGAACTCGCGTCCCTGTTCTGACAGCCGCAATCGCGCATGCAAAAAAAAAAAAAAAAATGGGCGACAAACATTCAGCGCCGAAAAAAAAACAGGGCAAAAAAAAATTCATTTTGTTTTGCAAACTCGCCACGGGGCGGCACAACAGTCGCGTCGTGCGTATAGCCACTTCCGGATGAGCCACACGACGTCGTGCGTATAGCCTCAGTCTAAACGTTTATCGCACTCGGTGCACTGGTCATCGCGATTCCGCTTCATCGCGATCAATTTTCTAAACAGTGGTTGATTGATTGATATGTGGGGTTTAACGTCCCAAAACCACTATATGATTATAAGAGACGCCGTAGTGGAGGGCTCCGGAAATTTAGACCACGTGCACCCAAATCTGAGCACACGGGCCTACAACATTTTCGCCTCCATCGGAAATGCAGCCGCCGCAGCCGGGATTCGAACCCGCGCCCTGCGTGTCAGTAGCCGAGTACCTTAGCCACTAGACTACCGCGGCGGGGCTAAACAGTGATTGGCGTGCTTGCCCAGCTGGCGTAAAAGAGTCAGTCACATCAGGATTGTTTGCCATCGAAAGTGCACGTGTGAGATCGCTTTATGTTATAACTCTCGATACGCTGAAATGACATAAATTACTCTGCATAAACAAGAATGGTTCATGATAGACACTTATCGCACTCGATCTTCACCATCCAAAAGAGTTAATTGCTATTATGGGTTTTTTGAGAGATCTGAACACCTTATAGCCATTTCGAGAGTGGTTTGTGTACTACATGTGGCACGCAACACCCGGGCCTTTCGCCCAAGAAAACGCCGCGCACGTGCCTACTCCACCAGCCGTCACGAGACGGAGGGAGCAGAACGCCAACGTACGGGTGTAGTGTGAAGCCGGTGAAGAATCCTCAAAATGTGCACTCCACCAACGCTTAACGATGCGCAGTATGTTACAGACATGGCTCGTTCACACTGAGCATTACGACCGCCGAAAGCACGGCGAATACAATTAGGCGGCGTCGAGATAAGCCGAAAGGGCCCTCTCCACGCCGATTGCTTTCGGATCAATTTTTGCGTCACTACCGCCAATTTGGCTCGCCGCGAACCAATAGGAGTGCTAGCCGAGGAAATTGAAAGAAATGGCGGCCAAGTCTGACTTGCTCGCCATGTCACAGTCAATTAACGTACGCTTAGCAAAAATGCTCATCAAATTGGTGCGAAATTACCTCAACTTATACGACATACGCCCCCCCGTGCGCAAGCACAGATTGCTACTAGACTTGTGAAATAAAATAAGAAACCAGCTCAGATTGACTGGTTAGTACAAGTTTTTGTGCCTGTATTGCTTTGCTCGTTAAATCACCGTTCTCGTCAAAGTTGCAGTGACTGTTGAAATGCCCAAAACAAAAAGATGGTAATAAAATGCCTTGCGGGGCGAATCGGCACCTGTATAAAAATAAAAGTAGAGCGCAAATGAAGACGGGACACAGATAAAAGGTAGACAGGATGGAACGCTCACACTTGCGAAAGAATAGTAAAGAGAAATGCTAATTTTCCGTTTCTTCCCATAAGTTTTTCGTAAATAGATCAGTTGGTAGTCAGCGTGGTATCCTGTCTACTTCTTCCCTCTGGCCCCTCTTTATTTGCGTTCTTCCTTTATTTTAAAAAAGATTTTATTGTTCCCGGGAACATCGAAGTTGTGAGCCGCCGCCTACATCTAGGGAACAGCGCATCCATCCCGGGCACACTCCGCAGGTGATTGTTCACTCGGCAGATGGCGTGCTTTGACTATTCAGGGAATTCGGCCGCGCGGTGCGCGTCCAGTGCGGATGACTGCGTTTCGGTGACAAAAGAATTTTTCTCGCTGTAGAAAGCGGATGCTTCATCGCGAACTAGGGGTAGCCCCTTGTCGTCCTTTTGCAAGCTTTCCTTGTTCTTGGTTGGGCATTTATTGTATATGACGGGCTGGTTGCGCACCAATTCAGTGAACATTTGTGCTAAGCGCACGTTACTCGCCTGTGACATGAAGAGCGCGTTAGAATTGGCCACTATCTTTTTTTAATTCCTTGGCTAGCGTATCTTATTTCTTCTCGGCAGGCCGATCCAGTGGCAGACGGTGCGAAAATTGGCCCGTGAGCGATCGGCGCGGAGAGGGCGCTTTCGGCGGATCGCACCACCACCGAATCAGATTAGGCGCCCTTTCGGTATTCGGAAGGCTCAGTCACGGCCGCCTGAATCGGGCGCACGCCCGATCAAGGCGGACGTATCTTGGTGCGACTGTGCGAATGAACCATTGGGCAAAATCTCGGAGCGAATGGCATCGCGATGCGGCCAGCGCTGCAGTCGCGCGCCGGCAGCAGCTCACGCATGCGCAGACGCTTGAGGTGCGTGGTATTGAACCGCGTCGTCTGCGATGGCGGTGGGCGCTGTTCACATTGTTGGGCAGCCCACTGATGTCACAGTCGCTAAGAGTAACAAGGCCAATACTCTGTACTAAACGGTGTGCGATGGGAACCCCCCGGCCTTCGTTGGCAATAATGGAGCAATACTTTTTTGCAGACTAGTTGGTTCATACTTGAAAAATTGAATTGCTGCACAAATTTGAAGAAAAAACAAGAGAGACAGGAAAGAGCGCAGACTACCAACTGTTTATTGTCGTTTTTGGAAGCCAATATAAACGCATGCTATGCTGAGCTTCCATGATGCGCACAAAACCAAAGGCGCTGCATACAAAGCCGACCGAAAACAAATCAAATCAAAATTGACTGCCACCACAATGACAAAAGTGAAAAATGGCAAAATACAAAAGTGATACCCACCACAATCTAAACTGCGTAATCCCAAGGTGTGTGCTCATCTTTTTTATTTATCTTTTATTATTTATTGCACCAAGCATCAACAAAGGCATGAAAAAATGAAAACGTACTCTAGACATTTTTGTTTAAAAACCCTAAAAATAGCGCTTAGCACCAAATAAAACAATAAATTAACATTTTTATATTCCCTCCAAGCAGCCCTAATTGAGAAACACGAAGAAGCAGTACGCCGAGAGAGTCAAAAACTATACTAACATAAAACCTTACAAAACATTACGTAGCGTCACATGGGAAATAAAACATGAACACTAATGAACAAAATGAGCGCAGCATATCATGCGTATATATTGGCTTCCAAAAACGACAATAAACAGTTGGTAGTCTGCGCCCTTTCCTGTCTCTCTTGTTTTTTCTTCAAGTTTGTGCAGCAATTCAATTTTTCAGGCAATAATGGGCTTCTAAAAACACAGTTTGAATGCATACGTTGCTTACAGTTTTTCTTTTTTTTTTTTGAAACGCCTTGGTACTCAGTGCGGTCACGTTATTATTTGTGTCTGCACCGCAGTACCCTGCGACGGAAAAGACCATATTGCTACCATCGTCTCTTATTTAAAAAAAGGAAGTGTCCGCGGTGAGTTTTAAATCCGTAACAGCTTTAATCCGCCTATTGCGTCTGAAAAGACGCTGTTTCATCTAATCTATTACACTTTGAATTCTTCGGTAATTTATCTGTAAGCGATTTATTACGTCACGAACAACTAAACACATATAGCGTGCTATCACACATGTCATCGACTTCAAAGAGCGAAACTAGCTGGCCCAGCAAAGTGTTGAAATTACTCAGGTAAAGTTTGTTCATCATTTACACACATAAACGCGCGCGCTCACACAAACATACTTGTAGAAAATGGGCACATTTTTTTCCTACTTATTTGCGAAGTTTCTGCACCTTGATTTGTTAATTTAGCGCTATTGTACTTTTTAGAACATCTGTCTTTGCAGAGACCTAGAGATTAAGCGGAGTGTTCGCAGCTGCTACACGTATGCTGTTGAGCACAATGTCAGGGTGATGAGTATCGTAACAGGCGTAGAAATCTTTGTTTCACAACAATGCCTTGTGACTAAGTAAAATTAGAGCAGCGTTTTCACTTTTGTTGTGGCCCCCGGTGCAATGATGCGTAGTCGGTCATATACCTTGGAGCATTGAGGAAAATGGTTGACATTGCGTCTAGAGTAAGCCTTGTATCCCATGGTAGCTGCTACTTTAAGGCGGTTCTTGGATCGGTATTCTGGCTTAAAGTCAGGCTCAACCATTTCGGAAAGCGCTTTACCACAGGTGTATGCAGGCATTTAAATTTGTCTCAAGTACATCAGTACATACTTCAAGAAAATATATTAGACTAAGATGGCGATGAGACTGACCCAAAATTATAATACCAGCAAAACGTGATTGAAACTGCGGCAAGAAAATAGAGGGCACAAAGAAGCAGTGCAGCAGTATTCCTTGTTGTTTTCGGAATCAAGCAAACGGGGGTATTAAAAGAAGCCCTTGTTGCTATTTGCAAATAGTGATATTTCTACCGACCGTAAAAAAAAAAAACACCAGCTCTTAGAGTGCACTACCATTCGCGTTTTTCAATTAAAGGGGCTACGCTAATAAGCCAGAAGCTCACATGACGTTAGCAAACATTTCGGAGATGGTGCCGTTGGAATGACGTTGCTTAGAGTGCGTGACTGCCATCTGACCTCTTCATGAGCGCATAGCGAAGTCATGTGCTACGAGATTTTTTTAAGTGTGAGACAGACTGTACATTTAGCGCGTTACTAAGTTGGCGAACATAAGCGCGCAAAGCAGCTTAAACGCATGGCGCCATGGAGCACAGGGTCACAGGTTTTTAACTCTGGTCGCACTTGACCTGATGTTCATTGCTTCTATATTTGTATCTACCGGGAATTTTTGCTCACGAACAACGCCGGTTTCCCGCTCAAAAGAAGAACACCGCCACCGCCGGTCTCAACTCCGGAGTTTAAAGAGCTCGTTACGAGCTCTTTAACGCTCCAGAGTTAAGAAAGATGGTGTCAGGTGGCCCCAATGATTCACCTAGTAGTCTGCGCACGTCGATGATTGCATGGGTTCGTTTATTCCTTGTGTTAACTGCGTGACTGGTCATGCTGGCGAAGCGGATCTCAGAAGCCACGTTGAAAGAAAGCCGCCATTCACCGCATTTGCCGTGACGTGCTGCATTGATCCATCCTGTTCACAAGTAAACAATTTGAATTTTCAACAAATTCATTTCATTTTGTTTTTCATTATTTGGCCTTAAAGTGAAGTCGTGTTTATCATAGGAAAATCTGCGTTGTGATATACGCATTTTGATATACGTAACAATGGATTCTATACTATTTTTAGTTTTTATAAGGCTTTTTCTAAATATTTTCCAAACAGGAAGTAAGGGCTCCACCGGATGTGCTTCGAAGAGAAACAAAAGCGTCACTCGGTGTTCATGGCACTAACAATGGAATATAATAGGCTTTATTGTTCAGTGAGCAGCGGTATGTTTCCTGAGAAATATATTCCCAACAGTGCCGCAAACCCACCCATTGATACCTCCTCAATGAAAAACCAGAAGCTTTATCGTAAAATAGGCTGCAGCATTGCCAAATAATATGTCTTCACTTATGCCAGACAGTTGGCCAAATATGTAACGGTCATGCTATACGCCGGAAAGCATTCCCCGACGTGCATCCTCTTGTCTTCTCTCACAGGGCCAACCGCTACGCCAATGGGTGGCAGGTGCGTGGCTACCACGTGGTCAATGTCGCCCTGCACTGCGCATGCTCGGTGTTGGTGGCTGTCGTCGCACGCCGTGTGATGAGAATAGCTGCGCTCCATGCGTGCATGGCCGCGATGATGTTCGCAGCCCATCCAGTTCACACTGAGGCCGTAAGTATTCGTTGTTGCGTTAGGTTTCGGACAGTTTAAGCCGTTCCTGGTATCACACCACAGGTTTTGTGCTCTGGAATGGCCACTCCTTTGTATTACTACTTTATTACCCAAAAAGTAAAACTTTGAAGCTTTCCATGCAGAAAATGCTTCAGATATATATCACCTAAAGTACGAATTAGTGGAAATGAACCGAGGATTGTATATAGATGCCAGCAGACGATGACGCGAAGACAGCAAACATATTTGTACACATCAACATCGACGTAGCGATTGTAAGTTGAATGGTTTGTAAAAATTAGTTAGGACGAAAAAAAAAAACTCGACACTCGTAAGTATCGAATCAACAACCTTTGATCACACGTTCGATGCGTTTACCAATAAGCCGCAGTGACTGTCATGTGCTTTCTTGGGTGTTTCTGCGCGTGTAACCATGGCAGAGTTAGTCAGAGCCACTTTTATCCATAAACCGAGCAGTGTCATTATTTTCCTAAAGCACTGACAGGGTGAACGTTTACAATTACCCTAAACTGACAAGTCGAGGTGCTCATGAAACACGTCAGAATCGACTCAATCACTTATCTGTTATTCATCAACAACAATTGATATCACCTATCTGCTTTTGTATATAAATTTGTTACATTGTTTGTAAGACCTCTAAAGTAACGTTTTTAAGAAATATAGCAGTGATTTAACAGTGCCTTTTAATGGTACATGAAACTTGGTATAAATAGGTGCATAAAGTCGTGCTTTCTAAGACCATAACTGATACATATTCACTGGGGCATTTTAAAAGATCGGTCATAATCTAGGAAATCAAAGCTTGCGTGTGCGTCGGTTGCAAAGCAAACTTGACGAACTATTCCACCTCGTTATTGCGGTGCAGTCTGTGTAGTAGAAAGCTCCTGCAGTTGAAATAGTTTTTATGCTGGCTATAAGTCAAATATTTACCATTCCTGCTTGCCACAATTCAATTTAAAACTTCTCTTTAGGCCATGTCTCAAAATCGGAGCAAGTTATAAGCATAACTAGTCCGATTTGATGGTAAAAGTGAGAGTCTTCAGATGGTCGGATGAGCTGTATACAGCCTGCTTTTTTATATCTGTCACCATGACGCAGGTGTCGAGCATAGTGGGCCGCGCCGAAGCGCTGTGCTGCCTGTTCTTTCTGCTGTCTTTTCTCTGCTACCAAAGGTAAGACAACGTTCAAGCGAGCAGTGGTCATGTATTTATACGAATGATAATATTGTGCTTAATTAGTCTGCTACGGGGATATCAAACGGTGCACACGATAATATGTGTGTTGCATTCAATGGCACCAACATTTCTAAAGCGTGAATGTTAGTGTGTTATATAAAAAATGTTCGATTTTGAAAAGTAAGAGCTCCATCTATATTGCGAGGATCTTGCGCGGGCACACTTGCTTTTGCTCAATACACAGAATGCCTTACTCGTGTCTAGAAATGCCTTACTGGTGTCTGTAGTGTTAAATTTCTCATTTTTGTGAATTTCTGTGAAGACAGTTGATGACGCTGCTCAGAGAGTCCATAAAAGCTCATTGTCCAGGCGTCGACACACGACGTGACCTGCACAAGAAATCCCAATATAGTACCTAGAGGCGATTATAACCATTCCGTAGATCTAAAGTAAACGTCAGACAAAATAAAGAAGTAGAAAAGTCGCGAGAACATGCAGTCAATGAAGCAAACAAATTTATTGAAGTGTCTCGAGAAACATCGTGTCCCTGCTGACGTAAGGAACATAGCTATCAATGAAAGTTACCTTTGAAAGAAATAATCTAATCGACCTGGTACGTTTCAGGGCGTTTTGCGGCCTCTATCATTCCGTATTTATATGCTAAGTTTCAGAAATCTAACCCATATTTCCCTAACATCAGTCTTTACGTAAACGGGTTACCCTGTAATGGAAATAAAAGAAACACGTGGTTGAGATGTGTGTGCGAAGAAGCCTTCAGGTCGTGCTTTTTTCCACAAGATTCTAGGGTTTCCACTGCAACAGGCAAGCACCTGAAGAATACAGCTATAAACCATTGAGTATAGGATTTTGAAGTCGCTTTTAAATTGGCCTTTTAATTGCTTCAAGTGAAACGAGAGTTTTCAATGGCTTTCGCGTGTATTGCCACAATAAAAATGTCATTTTTATGGATTCGCACTTCAAGTGACCGTGAAAGATTGGCTTACGGAAAGAATCAGGCGTAAGCCAGACGAATTTAAGAAGAGACATAGACTTACCCTTGGCAAACTGTATGAGTCTGTATTGTACAGTTGTAGTAGAAAGAAGGAAAAGATGATCATGCATTGTTGCGGGCACTATTTATTTACTTTGGTACTGATAGAAAACACTAAGCAATTTTTTCGCCATTCATTGCACAGAAAGGTGTGCAATCATCTACTATCCAGTCGTACATAACTTTAGCAGGCTGCTGTGCCCGTTTTTTACACTATGTTGGCAAAGACAGTATTCTCCATGATCGATTTACAATAAGCTTGAGTGATACATTTTCTAAGTGTAGGTCGTCTATTCTTCCTATCTTTACTTTCTGAAAATTGCTATCTGAAGGAAAAACTACGCTCACGTAAGAAAAAAGCACTATTTGACGAACATGCTGATATGTCTCAACAAAACTTTTTTACTTCCAATGAGGAAGGTTTGGTGCCCAAAGTGTTCGTATTGATGAATGAACTAGTGAATGAGAATTGGCACGTTTAGTCGAACAACACCTATATTGGGTTGATGCGAATTTCTTTAATTTATTGCTCCAGCTTATGTTTTTAGGCATAAAACATTTCTCGGTATGATTTCCTTTTGGTAAGATAACGAGATGAAGATGAGTCTGTAGTAAAATATAAGAATCTTGCTTTAAAATTTGTAGTAAATTTACATACTTTTGAAAAGATACGACTACATCTGCTCGCGGATCTCTCCAAACATTTTTTTTTCATATTCCTCTAAAAAACGCTAAACCTGCGCGAAAGGCGCAGCAGATTCACAGCTAAAGCTAGAAAAGCGGCCTTTCAGAGCCTTTTCAAAACACTCATTGAGAAACTACTACAAGCACACTTTCATTCCGCTGTAAAAAAAAGAGAACAATCGGCGTTCTTAGGTTATTTAAGCAAGATGAAAAATTTTTACATGTGTGTTATAAACTAGGACCCTAGAATAAAAGGCAGAACGTTTCTACAACAAAATGACGTCACTTCGCGTGTCAATGTAAAGCATAAATTTGAATTTAAAAATTAAACCCACCTGGGTATACCCAGTGCGGTTGAATTAAAAAAAAAATTGTGTCACTGACAGCATTACCATCGGATACAGCTTGGCTTTTTATTTGAGTGCCAGTTTGCTGTCACTGAAAAAAAAATGACTGCTTCTGATAATTGTTGAGGTTTACCATATTCACCTATTTATTTATTTATGTATTTGAAATACCCTCAATGTATATATGGTGCATTATAGAGGGGATGGACAAGTACGAAGGACGTTATGCCTCACATACCAATTATTCTTTGTAATAACCGCCCTAATTTTAAAAAGAGATGCTTTAATGTCAAATGAGGAAAGTGCCTAATCAGCAAATTGTGAGTTATCAGTGTTTTGCAATGGCGTTGTTATTAGGCCGTTTTCTTTTTTTTGTCAGGACAAAGTGACAAAGAGGCAGAGATGAGTAGGATGAATAATAACGCAGCGTTATACGCTGCTAAAAAAACCTTCGCCTGATAGTTCTGCACTAAAAGTGCGGCAGAACTCAGAATATGCAAAAAAAAAAGAAAATGGTGTAGAGGGTCCTGACAATTAGTGGAAGGAAAATGACCATGAGCATGATTGGCATATTCGTACCGATGTTCCTGCGTGCTCTTAGGAGTTGCTGATATAAATAAGCAATGGCATTGCCGATAACGCATTTCAAGAAAACATCTATTGTTACGTCGTTTAGAGAATGTATCTCTAAGCCCCTATACAATTTCAACATACCATACTCTTCACTGACACACTGCATGGCCACGTGAAAACTTTAAATTACAGCTACTTTTGTACTGCCTACCCTCTGCGCTAACAAATTTAGAGAAACTGCTTTATCGTGGGATCTACAGAAATTCATTTTTATGTGTAGTGTTCGGGCATGTTTTGCTTTCTGATGTAGAGATCATATGTTGGTAATCTGTGATTTGTATGGGTTTCGAATAATTAAAAAAAACTGGCAGATCCCACGTGCAGTGGAAATCAATGATATGCGACCCACGAAAAAGGAAGGATGATAGGTCACATTAAAATCAGCAGAACGTTAAGAGGCGGAGGTAAATTATGCCGTACATGACTTCCATATCATGATTATAATGTTTGGATGTTTCATTTACCTTCGTCATCTATTAACATCACCTGATACCAACTTTGGCATATATGGAGCTAGCAAAACAGCCGTGAGTGTGCTATGAGCGTAGCAGGTAGTCATGTTTTACATAAAATTGATATCGTCAATATCATAATTGAACGTGTCCTTTGTAATAATCATCCATTCACATCACATAATAACAAATTTGGTGTATGTGGAACTAGTGAAACGGACACGAGAATGCTATGAGCGTAGAATGTAGTCATGTTTTAAATGAAACGCATTTTATTATTATCAGGATTGGACGTGTCATTTACCTTGGATGTCTATTCACTTCCCGTGATACCCAATTTGGTACATGTGGAGCTAGCGCAACAGCGACGAGAGCGTCATGAAAGACTGAATATACTGCGACGCAACGTCGACGCACGCGCAGGCTGGGCGCAGCGATGCCATGCTAGCAAAACGGGAGCACTCTATAGTGCAACGCCAGGCGCGAACGGCACGACCAGCGTCCATCGGCGCGGCCCGGTGGCAACCGGCGCGAAATGCGACATGCTGCATTTTGTGCTGATGACGTTACTTAGACAGCACCGCTTCTGCCTCTCTTCGTGATGGAGGGATGCCGTGGGCGCTCAAACGTGCATGCGTCAAAGCAGCGTAGCGAGGCGTGCGCCTGAGAGTATATGGCATACAAATCCACAGTGAAGGTCAGTGGGCAGATCCACTGATCTCTACTAGGGGGATACCGGCGCCTGGCGCGGCATTGCCGGCGTGACGCGACAAAACGAACGCCGGCGCGCACGCGTGCCGGCACACGTTAAAGTGTTTTGGTGCTTTAAGTAGGGCGTGTATTAATGTTCTTACATGACACGCATCTCACGATTATCATGTTTGCACCGGTTACATACATTCGTCATATATTCACGGAACGTAACACCAAATTTCGGCGTATGTGAAGGTAGCGAAACGGATGCTAGCGCATCATGAGTGTGGGAGCTAGTCATGTTGTTACATGACACGCATGTCGTGATCATCATGTTTGGACGCGTCATTTACCTATGTTATCCGTTCGCGTAACGTAATACCGAATTCGGTACCTTTGAAGCTAGCGAAATGGCCGCGAGTGCATCATGAGCGTAGCATGTAGCCATGTTTTTACATGACACGCATCTCATGAATATCATGTTTCGAGCAGGCATATACTTTCTTCAGCCAATCATGTCCCGTAATACTGAACTTGGTTCATGAGAAGCTAGCGAAACGGCCGCGAGCACATCATGAGGGTGGCATGTTGTCGTGTTGTTGCATGACACGCATATCATGATTTGGATATTAGGGTCTGTCGCATGTGTTCGTCATGCAGTCATGTCATACCATACAATTTTGCAACATATCATGTGAATAAAAGCACTGCAAGAGCAGCAATGCTTTGACATTTAAACCTTGACATTTATGGCATACATGCAATAAAAGTTTATCAAAAAAATAAGTTTATCAAAAAATTAAAGTTTATCCAATCCAATTGCATACATTTCATGAATTTCATGTTACAAATAGGTTAGTTATGTTCGTCATACAGTCGTGTTATATCATACCAAGTTTGCTGTTGGTACCGCTATGCAAACGTCCAGGAGGGCTAAAAGTCGTAGGCGACTACATAGCTAGATAGAAACGCTCAAGGACGCCAAAGTTCGCCAATAAATGCTTCACATTTAAAACGTCTCTGTACCGCATGTCACTGCCATAATCACTGCTGATTTAGCGGGGCCTGTAAAGGTGCAGATACTACATTTTCTACCCTGCTATGCTCACCATAAATACTTCGTTTATGTTGTGGCAAAAACGTGCGGATCGGAAAGTAAACCGATTCTCAAGTCTCGTATGTGAAGCGGTTCCATTGTCTTACAGACGTCTCTTCACAGTTTGCTATAAACAGCATGCATTTGCGAAAATCTTACGGTAATTCTCGCGTTTTTGTCACCATCATTTACGACAGAGCCCAGATTAATCCAGTTCAGAGACGTGTGTTCTAACATTTTCCCCTGCAACAGGTGCCAACTTTCCCGAGATGTCCAAGGAGGTCTCAGAAGCTCAAACTGGCTCGCAGCTTGCTGTGTATTTTCCGTCTGTGCGCTGCTCTCCAAAGAGCAAGGCATCACAGTACTGCCGCTGTGCATGGCTCTCAGAATACGCACATTAGTGTGTGATTCAATGCACCCAGAACAAGATACTCGATGCCATATTGCTCAGGGCCGGAAGTGGTAAGTCCTTTTTCTATTCATGATTACCCTAACTGAAATACTCCCTGTAAAGGTCTTCCAGGATTTCCTGTTGAAAGATTTCCAATGCACGAACATGAAATCATAATTACGGTTTTAAAGCTTCACGACTCTCTGCACAAATCGTTAGAAGGTACTTAACGAATTCGTGCATTCAGTCAAGCGTCCACAGCTTACTCCTGATACGCTTCAAAAAATGCTTATGCATGAAAGAGTTTAGAACCGGCCTAGATCGGCTTGCAGTAGTGTGCTTTCCTGGGCTGCTGTTTTGAACTGAAGAAGCGGAGTATCACACAGCATTTAAATGGGAGGAATAATAACAAGGTTAAAAAGGTCGCTCACACTGTAGTCGTGACTAATCTCCAGCTTAGTTTTGATTTATCCCAACGCTTAAAATAAAGCTGCCTGTACCGTTTTTGCTCTCTGATTCTCAAGTAACAAAAAACAACCGTTGTGTTTTGGACTCTTGTTTCTGGCTTCTAATAGAGCAAAAGGGTTGTCTTTGTTTCATGCCGACCAGACAGGCGTTCGTCTGGTCATGAGTTGGGAGATATTTCTCCCTCTTGTTTCTTGTCGATCAGGCAGCTTTTCATCGAACCCGCGGCTTCAAGACAAGCCATAGTACTCTCTCGGAAGTACATAGAACTGTTGATCTCAAATATTGCTGTTGAATTGCAATATACGAGCGCCATTGAATATGCGTTTGAAATGCGCAAGACGTGTGTATGGAACTATTGATCACAGCTTCGAAAGTCTGAAAAGTAAGTGTATCTAACTTTCAGGCTTGTCTGCAAGTACTATATACGAGACATTGTCTACCGATGCACCACGGATTGTGAGCTTGTGACACTCGCCACACTGGTAAGTGATTCGTTGCTTGTGAATTAACTGTGTTGAAGACCATACTGGAAAACATACACTCTGTTAGCGAAAACCTTGTGCTACACAACTTTCATTCGTATATGGCTTGACATCTGTAATCATGCGGTAATGCTCAAACATGTGAATAGATGTACGAAGTATTCAAACAAGGACCCATGACTTCTGTGTGTGGGTGAAAGACAAGTAAGACGAATGAAGTACACTAGAGGATCACTTACGTGTGCACCAAAGAGACGTTCGTATTACGTGTCTTTCACGCTCACAAATATTATGCATCGGAATCAACAAGCCCAAATTTAGTGCCTTCTATTGAACGAGCATCATATTTTCATGGTTTGCACTTAAAACTCTGAGGATTTTACTTATCTTTTACAACTGACATATCCCTACTGTCATACATAGACTGGTGTACTTGAAGTGCACGCTTAAGGAAGACAAAAAAATACATTGCGATAACGATGATGTGAAGCTGCTGTACGAGATTACAGTACGCTGTCCATGACTCTTTGATCGAAAGGTCTTGCCGTTGCCTCAAGATGAAATGTCTTTAGCTGCTAGGATGTGCTGATTCGACAGGCAGTTCCTGAAAAGTTGCGGCAATAGACCTTTATCATAATCGTAAAGCTAGGTTTTCTGCTGTGCAGTTTGTGCTACTAAAGACATCTAGCCTCTTGACTAAAAGCAATGTATTGGAGCACAGTTTGCTTGCGCGATGCCGTGAAAAACAGTGGCTCGCCTGTCTTGATATAAACAGGGATAATATACATGCCTTCCAGCTTCCAGCTAGCACCTCGTTTCCACTTGAAGCACAACCTGTGCTGCCATTACTAGAGTGGGTATGCATCGCAGAAAAACGCACTTGCAAATTAGGAAATTCTTCTATTTCGGCAACTAAGTTTCAAAAAAATTGTGACCTTTACTAACTATGTCACACTGTTTTAAAGGGGATGCAGCCTATAGTGCCATGCTGCATAGGTTCGAATTTTCTGTCATCATACGTCGCAGCCCCGTTATGAGTCTATCAATATGAGGGTAAAAAATGTTTGGATAAAGACACCATTGCGACCATATGTAATGTCTGCCAGGACACGTTTTCAATGCATTATGAACTTCTAAGTAATCCGAGGCTCATATATATAGTGGAAAATAGGGCCGACACTTCATTACATCTTCCACAGAGTTCACATTAGCGCAACACAGTAAGGGTATATTTGAGCTTTTACGCGCGAGAAAAACGATATAAAAATCAGGCATTGTGTAGAAGAAGGCTTTCAAAGTTTGGACCATGGGTGTTCTTTTTCATGCACTGGCATTGCACAGTGAGGGGTGCAGGCATGTGGCATTTCGCCTTAATAGAAGTGCGACTATTTCGGCCGGAATTAAGCCTGCGACTTTCGTGCCAGCAGCCAAGTACCGTAATCATGGCGCCACGCAGGTGGAGTCTCCTCACAGGTCCATTGATACTCGCTGAGGAATGCCGCATTCATGCAGTTGCGTAATACGGTAAATATAACGCCGGCGATTGGTCACGTAACAGTTTTTTATCGCGTTGCTGACCTACACGCTTTTATGAGTAGTGAATGCCAATCGATTAGCGGTGCAATTTGGTACCAGGTGTGAATAGGAGTGCCTCTCATCGGAACAATAGTGTTGCGACTCTGTGGAGGAGTGAAAGAAGAAACGGAAACAGTCAGAATTGTTTTTGTCACGCTTTTCTTGATGAGTGCGCGTCCGCACAGTATATATGCTGCCTCTTGCTTTCTGGTATGTCCAGTATGCACGAGTGGCGTGTAGTTCCTCCTAGATATTGCAAAATTAGATGGCGGTATCGCAATACCCAAAGTGGAGCAATCGTTATGCCCGTGTCCCCCCTCTCGCAGTATTTTCCATGTTTGCTCGCACTTCACTAACGGCACAGCATAAGTGAGATCGTATCAGAGAAACTCCAGTGTAGTTTTTAGCGCCGTTGATCATAAAGAAAAGAGCGTTATCCTGAAGTGAAAAATCAATAAAATTGCAGGTAAAAGAAATAACCCCAATTGCACTGATCTCTACGTGTGCTGGGATACGTGTGCGGCGAGACGTGTGCTGCGTCGTAAAATGCAATGCTCTCGCAACAAGAAATGTCAGTGAAGGGCCGGCATACATCAGCAAAGGGTCAATGTATTTTGTCTTTCGAAATAAATCCCAAAGTTTTGTAAAAAATAAAGGTAGGTCTGCGAGTATACCAAAAATTTCTGTCTTATAAATTCCACACCCAGGCTGAATAGCATTCGTCCAACCAAGACTGTGCACATCCATTCAACTTCATTGGAACATATGCTTCAACTGTCTCTTCCACCTGTCGAAAAAGCGGCTGTCCTTTTGTGTCCGCACATGCTAATCAAGTTAATAAATACGTAAAAAATAGATAAAAAAATAAATAATTAGATAAATAAATGTCAAAATTTTCTTTATGAGAAACATCTATTAGATAAGTCTATAGATTCGTTTTCCTGTTTGGTGGACGGGAATGGTTTTCTTGCATAAATCGACAAACTTAGTGGCATTTATGGAGCAATCACAGAAAAAATGTTATTGGCAAGAAGTTCGACTGTGTTGATATCTTCTCTTTCAATTCTTTCTACAGACGACATTGCTGCTCTGCTTCAGGCTATGGATTCTACAAGGAAGCTTTCCAGAATTCTCCGAGATGGACAACCCTGCGTCCTTCTCGTCGATGCGAACAACCAGGTGCGCACACATACGAATAATTCTGGTGGTGCTTGTAGAATATTTTAAACCATCAAGTTCTACTGAAAATGCATTCATTGCTTTTAACGTTTTATAGACTTTTTCTTGCAAATCAGCAAGTGCGTTTATCTGCGCGGTATATTCACCCAACTGATTGCGGCACTTCTCACGTTTCAAGTCCAAATGGCACTGTAGCTGCACTTGTTGCGGCATTAGTATTATACCTGTTAGTGTCAGCAGAGCTGAGTTTACATTTCCTAAGCCATAGCGCTAGAAAACAGCGAACGAACCCACTGTTTAGCAGCAAACGCCTAGCCGTTATTACTTCGGAAAGCTCCATAGCACCAAGGCTAGCTTCGCAATTATCAAAAGGATTTCTTGCGTCAAAGTATTCGAAACCCCTTTGCTTAGCTATATAATCGGTATCGGTGTTCTTTCTCTGGGGGCACGCGGTTGCTTGAAGGATCTAGAAAAGATCAGGATTACTTTAGTGTATGGGTTCGGAAACTAAAATACTTACTTATCTTCCCTCGTGTTCAATACGGAGTGCCGTATAGTGATCTTGAACTTCCAGAACATATAAAGTGCTCAAAAGTCACACATGAAGCGAAGATTTCAAAATGCGAATTTTGAATTACTTGGTACACCTGGTTGCTTTAAAATATCGAAAAGAACAAAATTACCGAATCAGCCATTCAGTTCTAACACGTTGAATCAATTTCCCTCCTTTCATCTACTACGAACAACTTTCGAAATAAGTGCACCAGGCACAAAAAGTCGACCTAACAAAACAATCAACTGCAAGTGAGGAAGCAATAAACGCGAAAAAATTGTAGTAAAAATGTTTGTTTATTTTTATATAATGGATAGAGAGTCCGGAATAAATTACAACCTAACGGTAAACAGCTGCGAGTATTCAGCAGCTCTTAATTGTTCTTTCATGCAGTACAACGTTTTTTGTAGCAGAAACACTAAAGAGTGTTTTTGTCGCTAGTAACTGCAAGAAGAATATTCTGACGGAAGGTAATGCTAGTTTCCTTGCGCTGAAAGGAAATTAAGCATATGCTAATATGCTGAAGTCACTATAGAGAAAGAGCACAGCACGTTTGCAGCACTAGACTAACAATAACAAATGACTATGTTGACTTTAACGTAAGCCTTGTGAATGCACGTCCATCGCCACCCATCCTTTTTCCTCTGTTTCTTTCATGACAGGCTACTCACTTACAGCTACCTGTGCGCCTTCAACGTGTGGCTTGTGTTGTGTCCACGTACCCTCTCATACGATTGGCAAATGGGCAGTATACCTCTCGTGACATCACTGTGTGACTCCAGGAATTTGGCTACACTGGCCTTACTTGCTTCGCTATTGGGTGTCAGCTGGCGGTTTTTGCTGGAATTGAAAAGCAAAGACAGAGTGAGTAGCGATTAGGCTTCATTATTTTTATTCTACATACATTAGCTGAAAACTGAAGAGCGTGTGCTTATATGTATTTTATTTATCTTTTATTTTGTGAGGGTAGGATACTGAAACGTGATTTTTCTCTCTTGCTCGTAGTGGTAGTAAGACCATGTATGAAGCTGAATGCCGTTTTATATTTTGCCATGAAAAACGTTAAAATTGATTGATTGGCGTCTCTCATAATCATGAGGTGGTTTTGGGACGTTAAACCCCACATATCAATCAAAATTGAAGTGATTGTTTTGTTAATATGTCAGAGACATCAAAACTTCGACCACTGACCGCACCATATGGGGCCGGTATTTCCGGAATGTTGGACCTAATTACAATAACACTGACGGTAATTTGACTTTATTCAGTCCAGTTCAACTGTTTTTTTCACCTTCTCACACTTGAGGGCTACACCGCGGCGTTAAACGTACTCGCGCGAATCGTCGGCACGTTGCCTTCCCTAGGAAGCTCAATATCACAATAATTCGCACGCAGATTGTTCTTCAGTACACGATTTTCGAAAAAAAAAAAACGACGTGTATCCTGTGTGACTATGCCTTTTTCTGTCAAAACCTGAGAAGCAATTACTATGAAGCGGGATAGAACATTTCAAGAGGCTGTTTACAAACGCTGGTACTATTTTGTTATTATAAAAACAATAAGGATGGCTGGCTACAAGCAGGGGTTCGTTGTGATCCAAATTCTTAGTAACCGTGTCATTCACTGTTTTATGCTCTCTACTGTGAGAAACATTCAGCTAGCCCAATTCGTATGTTTATTTGAAGAAATGATATATTAGAAGCTGCTCTGGGGATAGTCAGCGCTCACAAAATCACCAAATGAAAAGTCATTATTTTTTACTTGTAGCGTGCGTAATCATTATCGAATAAATTTAAGAGTGCTACCTTTGCTAGCCGACACGAAAATGAACTTGAAAGTTGTAGGTAATAAAGGTGCACCGTGCAAACATGAGAATAAATTAACAGAACGAAACAACGCAAACACCGCTTGGCTTGATTATATTGCGTTCGAGTTCGCTTTGTTGCCTTCCCTTATGATGAGTCCTTACCAAGTAGTTCGAGCCGTCACTTGAAGTATTACTTTTAGCATTTGTACACGTGTGCATCAGTGCATCAGTGCTTGTATCTGCGTATTTTGAGGATAAACTTTGTAGAATCACATGCACCATGTGAAATGGTTATAGATAGTAGTATATTATATTGAGGCTAGAGTTATTAAGCAACTGGGTGTCATTTTATGTGATGCATGAAGCCTGCCAGTGGGTCAAGAGGGCAGCTTTGTTACTGGAAAAAGGTTCAGCGACTCCACGAGCCTTCACTGGGACTTCTAGTGCCGCTGCTCCTGACTGTGCTGCCTTTCCTACCGGCGTCCAATCTGTTCGTTACGGTGGGCTTCGTCGTAGCTGAAAGAGTCCTCTACATACCCAGGTACACAATACTTGCATGTAAGCAGGCATCTTTTCAACAGCGTCTCTTCGTTGCTGTGGGCTTCGTCGTAGCTGAAAGAGTCCTCTACATACCCAGGTACAGAAAACTTGCATGTAAGCAGGCATGTTTCAAACAGCGTCAATGACAGTGGTCACATGTGTGCCTATATTAGCGGATTACAAATTGTGTTAAAGAAACGCGATAATTTGATGAATTTTGATATGTGAAAAACAACTTGTAAATACGAATTGAACGGTGTAATTACTCCATCCTAGACAAAGGGGCATACATTACACTTCAACCACAGCGTACGCAGTGGATTTACTGTTATACCTGGATAAGTTATACAGTACTTGTCTACTTATCAGTGGACGGTACCTGATATTTATTCACGTAACAGACCGGCCCGTCAGAGTCTTTGCATTGCACATGTTATTGAAACGAAGCAGAAGTATTATGCTTGCTCCAACATACGCACGCAAGGATTACCAAAGAAAGCAAGCAATATTCTGCTCAGAACTCTTTTGTGTGTGTGCCTTCACGAAATATAGCAGCAGAGATCTTTTAATTCGCAGCGCAGAGCTCTGTGACTGATTATCGACCCTAGTCTTCCTTTTGGTCCGAATGCCTCTATTGTTTCCTCCTGTTGGTTGCTATAAAAATCAACCATGCCATCACTAGTTCATGTAGCGAACTCACAAATCCAAGAATATTTCAGTTTCAGTATAGCCATTCATTTTTTTACTTCACCAATTACCTATGTCTTGGACTGATGTTAAACTGCTATTATGCTTTTCATTTCTATTTATGACGTTGTCATATAGCGAGCATACATGCAAGGTATTAACATGAAAATAGTGATATTTATGTGATGCACTTCACGCCTTACTCGCCCCGCTCATGGCGCGCTCGCGACAGGTTGGCTACATCGGTGTACATCAAAAGTATATCGCGTTACATGACTGTATTGTGAACGTAAATGACAGGTGCCAACATGAAAATAATGATGTGAATGTCATGTACGACCCTTTTTTCGATGGAATGTTAAAGGTGCGTTCGAGACTGGTTTGCTAGCTTGATTTCCAGCCAAATTGTAATTTCGTTACGAGATTGTATGATGACCGTAAACGACGAGTCCTCCTATAGTATCAGTATACGCGTTTAATAAATGAAATGATTTACATGACATTGTTTTCGCGAGCTTCCTGGTTTATAGGTAACTGTTTGTTTACAAAAATCATGGCCCACACCACCCGAAAATAATTGTCAGGAAATGCGAATGTGTTTCGTGCACCTATAATAATTGGTGTAGTAATTTTAATGGCGAAAATAATGACAATATGAAGATTTTTACCGCAACCATATAGTCACCCATTCATCAGCCACCGAACAGTTGAGAGTGAGGCGCGCGCTTCACTTCATTTATGTATACGCACGAGCCAGCGGACGGAACAGGTGGGCGGAGGGAGGAGAAAGAGTGAACGGCGGGAGAAGGAAGGAAGAAGCAATGCACCTACCCTCTCCTATGCTGCCTCCACAAACGCGGGAGCACCGCCGAGCTCCTGCGATGCGAGTGCCCTCACACGCCAAAGCAAACACTGTGCTTTAGCGCACTATGTAGGCGTTAAAGCAGATTTATCTTGTTGTATGATAAGTACCGTGAGCACAACCATCTTTATACTGACACTTCAAGAACAGTGGGTGGTTCCGCAGAGTCAATGATATTTCGCGCAACAGCGACCACCACGAAGATTCGGCTATCTCACCAGATGAGATAGACAGAGCGTAGCGGGACACGCTGCTCCACATAGCTTCTTTGAAGTAATCCAAATCAACAAGCCAAAAAATGGAGCTTGTTCACGAACTACAAGGCACCACAATATATAGTGTTTGGCATTTGCTTTACGCCAGGGACTTCATGAACAGATTGTTCTGGAAACCAGAGAGCTGTTCCACCAACTCCTCCTAAAAGGACATGAAATCACGTTTCAGTAGCTTCCAAGTCACTGTGACATATTGGGCAACGAATATGTCGACGCCACTGCTCGATCGGCACACGAAGATGGTGTAGAAGAATCTATCCAAATCTCAAAGACTCGTACTGCCATGAAATTACAGCAGAATACTAATTAACCCGTAAAATCCCCGTGGAACACAGGAACTTTACGGCACACGCACCTGTATAGGCTGGGTCCTTCTCGTACACTTCCGCCTCCGTACGGACTCTCACGACTTGAGACAGGGGTGCTCAGCTGACTGTGCCCCGGTGTCGCTTTCACCGATTTTTTTTTTTTTCGCCTTCCACGTTGACACGGAAGATATTGCTGCATGCGGTCATTGCTGGAGCGATGAAACGATAGAGTGCGTTCTGTGTCACTGACCTCGCTACAACGTGCACAGATTGCCGCTAGCTGCTGCGCTAGCCCACCTTAACGACAAGCCGTTCTCAGGACAGTCAGTGCTAGAAAGTCGACACGATCTGTCTATAACGCGACACGATAAGACACGATCAGCCAGATAGTGGCACGTACCCGCCCGCGAGTATGCGTCACTGTTTGGCTGGAAGCGTTTCATGACATACGCGACAAGACTGTCACGTCATTAACGCAATTACCAGCGAGTCGTACTCGTCACACCATGTTATGTCATCATACTACTTTTGGTTTACCCCAAGTTAAGGGGGTGATCACGAGAGCCCCCAGACGCACGTGGTTAGATAAATAGATAGATAGATAGATAGATAAATTGATAGATAGATAGATAGATAGATAGATAGATAGATAGATAGATAGATAGATAGATAGATAGATAGATAGATAGATAGATAGATAGATAGATAGAAGTGCTTGGCATTTAAAATATATAGCATCACTAGCATTCGAACTAACGTAAATGGCAGGTTATGTATTGTATACACGTAAGATGCGTTTCCTTAGCATTGTAAATACCATGTTGCTCATTCAGCCTTATACAATAAAACTTTGAATATATAGTGATCTCGATGTTAAAACATGATTGTTTTCATTTATTTCAAATACAATCTAGCCGATCTATGCAGTTCTGTGTGGCTGTTCCGCATTGCATTGATTCCCTGGATGCATGTTACCTGTTCTTTAAAGATGGTAGTCATTCTTGGGGTACATCAACGCAAAAAATTTGGTCTGTCTTTCTGTTCATTTGGGTGTATGTCCAGCGAATTGATTCCCGAAACGTTCAAAATCCAAACCCGTCTGCAGCGCCGGCCCATATTGCTCAAGTTTCAGCGTTCATACTTGTGCGATTTTCAAATAAAAAAGCAATTATTGCGTATATCTGAGGAACAATAGCAAGACATCAATATTTGGTATTTGTCTTTACACTAGAGAAGGCATACATAAGTTTTTCCAAGACCGTAGCACTTATCACGCTGCGCTGACAATACAACGCTATGCACAAAAAAGGCAAGTAATTGCTAAGACGACATGGTGGTGGATTCTCCCCGTCACTTTGCGTTCTTTACCTTATCGACTCCCAGACAGGTGCATACAATTTTTTCGTTTTCGGAGATAACTGCCAGATAGCGCTTGTGTCTTACGTGCCTTGATGCGCTCGTTCACCTTCGCTGCACAGATCTAGGCACTCTAACGCAGCGCCTTCAGAATACAATGCACCGCTTTTCTCGCGCAGAGCATCAAATGAACATTTTGCTCACTCTTTCCAGACGCAAGACTATCGTCTTTCGACGACATTTGCAGAGAAGCATAAAGAAACGGGGTTAATTTTTTTCTAACACTAAATGCTCTCTATGCTTTCACTTTCTGCTTGCGCGTGGCTTGTCAAGCAAGCAGCTGTTTTTAAGGGACATAATTACGGGTTTCTAATTTTCCAAAGTTTACAAAAACGTGACAACAATGTTGGCGTTTATTAATTAACCATAGTAATTGGAGAGTTTTCGTGTGTTTTTTCCGTTAAATGTTTAACGCTGTTAATTCACTGCACTGTAATTCTCCCTATTATAGCATAGGCATGACTCTACTTGTGGCGGAAGGACATTGTCGCCTTCACGTGCGGTGCTCTAGACTGCTAAGGTGGTGCACTACGAGCCTGTGCGTCATTCTGGTGGTGCTCTTTGCTGCACGCACCTGGAACCGGAACGGCGTGTGGGCATCCAGGGAGGCCTTGTTTGAGTAGGTGAAATTCATGTTGTTTTTGCCTATAGTTCAAGGCCCTTTTACATTACCTCTTTATGAATTGTTGATGAAGATTGAAAGTGATTTTGTTTTTTTCTTGTATTCAATATATTTACATATTGCGAACAAGGCTTTATGTTTATTCCAGATCGGGCATAAGGGACGTTCCAGAAAACGCAAAGATGCATTACAATTACGCAAATCTGCAGAAGGACACAGGCAACATAGACGTGGCCGTTAAGCACTACAAGCTGGCGATTGAGTGAGTTCTTTTTTGTGACTGGAATCTTTGTTCAATACTACTTATACGGAGAAATCTGGCCCTAATGCGTTTTTATGCATATTTATTTATTTTGTTATTTTCAAGAATGAAGTGTTTCTTGCTCTCCTTGTCGACAGGCATCAAGTAACATTGAACAAAAAGCTACCAATATTGCCCCGGCCCTCAAATGAGACCATTCGATCCCTCAAACGAGGGGTTTAGGTTTTCAAACAATATCGCGCGGGCATTCAATCGAGGTGAGGGGGCCCAACCACCTAAGTGTTGAAAATACGATCTCCTGTCTCTTATTTATTGCACAAAGCTGCCTTTACAGTGGAGGCCCAAATGAATGGGAAAACAGGATTTAGTTCTGTTATGGTTGCTGGTATGGTTACCCATGCCCTTCAGAAGACGTTAAGCGTTCATTACAGAGGGTAAATAAGTAAGTACGTAGTTAGAAGTTATGAAACATCTTTCAACCTTCGGAATTGCGCAGATTGTGGCCGGATCACGCCAGCGCTCACAATAACTTGGGCACTGTGTTGACGTCGGCTGAAGAATCTGAGCATCACTTTCGGTACGCCTTGCACGTCAACCCAAACCACGCAGGGGCTCATTTCAACCTCGCCAATATATACAGGCACGTGTGACTTCCTCACCTCTAAAGAAGTGAAGCAGTAAAAATTCGCATAACCAAGTTGCAGAGAGCCACGTTCATAAGGCGAAAAACCGTCCATTGTTAACAGTAGGGTTGCAAAAACCATTATCAACCCGACGGTGTGTGTGACTTCCTCTAATCGTTTCGATCTTCACGACTTACAGTTTAAATATTAGGGGACCCTGAAGCTTCGCCTTTTGGAGTTGAACGCGCTAGCGATCTTCTGTGCCTAACGCGTACTAACAAACACTTAGTTCATGAAACCTTCTCGATATTCTTATGAGCCCACTACGTGGTCCTAAAGGCAACACGCGTAATAGCGTGTGTTCAATTTGTAGTGGGGTACCGGCTTTAAACCATGAAGCCATCCTCCCTGTCCTTCCTCATTTATTCCTAACCTCCCTGTCCTTCCTCATTTATTCCTACTCCTCCTCCTCCCCCCGTAAAGCAGAAAGGGCCTTAGGATTCCTACGCCAGTTTTGCATTAAAAAATCAGGGATGCGCAGGGATACGTTACTTATGATATACAAACTTTACGTACCACCTATTCTGGAGTTTGGTTGCGTTCTGTTTTCCGGAAGTGCTGAGTACAAATTAAGACCTCTTCTATTGCTAGAAAGGCAAGCTTTGTGGCTGTGGCTCGGGCTACCTAGGTGTGTTGCGAATAGCGTGCTTTATTTGGAAGCTCGAATCATTGCACTTGATGCAAGATTTCGACAGCTTACCGTGCAAACATTTTTAAAACTATAGAATGCCTCCTCTCTTGATTACAGACAGTCTTCATCAAATGTCCATTGTCTTTTTTTAAGCGCCTTTGATGTCGGTAGCAAAGACCCCAAGTCATTTTTGTGGAGTCTCTGTTATCAAATCTTCACGTTTCCCTCCAGCATTCAACTCCCCAAACCCTATGCTCGATGCAAGTTGACTTATTTTCGATGACAGTTTTCCAAAAAAAAACGCGAAAAGTTTTCCAAACTATGTTCTGGAGGGCCTTCTTCAAGACCATCTCAGTCAAGTTCCTAACAACGGATGCAACGCAAAATCTTCAGAAGGCTTGAGTAGGTATTTCATCTCATCAGCATAATTGGTCGTTGGCGCTCCGATTGCGTGACTTCACACCAATGTATCTCGCAGAATTCCTGGCTCTTCGAAAACTAAGTTCTCCGCAATCAAAAGCTATTATTATTTCAGATACTTTGTCTGTTTGTACACATTTAACGTCCGCCTAGCAGTCTCCTCTACTCAAGATATTTTGGTCTCTCGTACCGTGTACTCTACCAGAAGTTCGGTTTCTTTGGGTCTCCGGGCATGCTAGATTCGCACTAAATGAAACTGCAGACTCGCTCGCTGCGGCATCTTTAAAGTTCCCGGTGGTACTATCAGATCCACAGTTCTCTTTCATTACTGCGAACAATTCAAACGCCTGTTAATTTCGAAAATGAACCAAACATCGCTCATACAATCTGAAGAATTTCGGCACTTGCACCTCACATGGAACACCGCAAAATGCCGTTCCCGTCAATGTGAGGTGACCCTGACAAGCGTTCGCTGCAGGCTTTTTTGGTTAAATTGTTATCTCCACAAATCAAGATTTTCATTCACTAACCTATGTGCAGTTTGCAATGAAACGGAAACAATAGATGACTTTCTTCTCACATGCCGCCGCTTGGCCTCACTGTGCCGAATAATTCTTGAGAGACCGATTGTTATGCTCGCAATGACAAATAATACATACACCTTTTTATCGTTTGGAGCCACTCAGTAGGGTGTGGGCCGCAGTGGTATTCTGCCAGCGCTACATAAATTCATTTAGGCAACCGGAAGGATACGCTGCTAGTATCGCTGCTAGTATAGTGGTGCTGCCAGATATACAGAATTCTTTTCCCCCCTTGTTTATTCTTGCTAATTTGTTTTGTACATCCTGGTTTATCTCATTCTTCTGCACTTTTTCACTATTTTAAAGAAATAATATTATTGTTCTTATCTAATTTCTCTCTTTTTAGCTGGCGTTGTATAAAACATTTCTATTATAAGGTACAGTGTGGCCAACCTCCCTTGAGGATATGAGCCCAGATCTTGTAGGCGACGAGACAAGACATATGTTCTAACGCCCGCTGGATACGGGTGCTTGTACTACGCATTATTAGTGCAATATTTCATGTTGCACTGTGAAGCCTGCATAACGAACGCCTGTGCTTGTAAAGCATGAAAGCTACTTTCACTTCATTTGCGAACAAGTGAAGTTATTTTCAGTGCATTTAGAAGCAGACACGTGGTCGCGTGGTAAAACATTCGCTAGCCACGCAAACAACCCGATTTCAATCTTCAATCAGACCCAAACGAACCTAGTCGTTCCCCACTCTGACCCACGTTTTTTTATTATTTCTTTCGTTTTATCTTTCGCGATTTTTCGGTCGCACACAAAATGATGATTTTTGCTCACGACCAGCATCGCCATCACCAACACCAAAGCTGACACAGAAGCCAAAGCCGCAATTCCAGTAAAATGAGCTCTTTAATACTATCGTGTTAAAATATGCATGCGCTCTTTTCAGTTCGTGTTTGCACGTGTTTGGCTCGTTGTCTGCATCAAAATTAGTCTATCGCACAGTAAGCCGTTGCTTCGGACAAGAAAAAATGAAATCTTTGGCAGAGATAGAGACATAATTTATTAGAAGTCAGGGAGACTGACGTAAGCTAGTGTGCGCTAGCCTGCCGTGCTGCACAGTACGTAAAGCAGAGGGGGAAAAATGTGCGTGAAGTTATGGTGCGGGAAAGAAAAAAGGTATGCGTATACACAAAAACCACGTCACACAAAGGTTTTGCTAAAGTCTGCTGTTCACTCTTGTACTCTGCAGAAAATTAGTCACAGGCCTGACAGCAGTTGTCGACTTCACCTGGGTGCAAATGCTCACGAAATATTCATTTATTTTCAACGTGCAGCAAGCAAGGCCAAAAGGATGTCGCAAGGGCCCTGTTAGAGCGCGCAGTTGAGCTCGACCCCGATTTCTGCGAAGCCTACTCATCGCTTGCTGCCCTCGCGGCTGACAGAGGTGGCCTCGCCGAAGCTGAGAGGCTGCACCAGATGGCGTTAGGCAGCGATGGCCGAAATGCCGACGCCCGGAACAACTACGGCACATTTCTTCAGTCGCATGGTGAGGCATATTTTACAGTGACTTCTGCTTCTGAATATTAGGTCCAAGTTCGTACTATGTTGACATTTGTTGCGTAGTAACCTTTTCAGTAGGTAAGGGACTAGTAATTCTTCTGATACACAACACCTAAATTTGATTATGATGATGATATGTGAGTTTTACGAGTGCAAGGGGCCCGCTTGGCCAAATGCGCAATGAAGAACGACAAAAGAATATTTCAATAGACTGTGAATTACCAAGCTATGTAAGAGAAGTAAGCGATGGTGATGTTTCGTGGCCATATAGGGGTGTAAATTTCCATGCCTTAAGGCGGGTTAAAACTCGCATGTATGCGGATGACGTGAAATGTATGCGGACGGAATAAATGACAGCGTTCGTGTTGACGGCTGCTGCAGTCGTGATCCCTGCCCAGAGGTCGAGCTACAATTGGTCATGGAAACTCTTCCTTAGTAAAATCAGCTATACCTTAAAAATATGTCACTGCCACTAATAACAAATAATGTTTCTCTAGCTTCGATCTGTGCTTCCAGGTATAAAATACAGCGTAATAAGAGGGCGGCAAGCGTTTCGTGATACAATCTTCAGAGTTTCGATCGCTGTCAGGCATGTTGACCCGCTGTGATGAAACGATACTCAGCTTTCGGGTGGTGTGCATCCCACATGCCACTGCCTGTTGTTGTAACCCCTGGCATTTTTGTTCTCTTTCGTCGCTATTTTTCGCATCGCACTAAGAGAGCGTCACCTGAAGTCGAGTTGTCGAGTCATGAAAACAAAAATTACGGACCACGAAGTGCAAGCAAGCTGGCAGAATAGGCCGCATGCCGCACAGCCACGCTCCCAAATGTTAATACGGTAGAAGGATGCTGGGGGCCATCTAGTCAACAAAACTGCAAATGCTGCTTTCCCTGTGCAGAAAGTATAAAAATGGCCGTTGTATCTTCCGTAAAACTAGTTGATAGAAACACTACCTAATTTTGGTTTGTTTAAAATACGTTACCCAGATGTGTATGGACTATACTGCGAGAATTTTAGTGTTTAAACTGATATATTTACGCTTGTTTGAAGTATCGTAATGGCAACAATGACAACGTTCTAAGATGCCAGCGCTTTGGTCGTTATAGCTTTTCCGACCCAGCTTTTTCTTCAGAGTGTATAATAGCCCTATGCCAGTGACACCACCTATTGCCTAATTTTTTGTATCTAATTTAGCTTGGATCACTTGCTGGCATACTATTTTTCATGTGATTTCTTAGGTAATCATATACCGTTTTCTGTACAGGCCGTACCAAAGAGGCGATGGTGCAGTACGAACAAGCTCTCAACATCCAACAAAACCACACTGTGACACTCTTGAACGCAGCTAAGAGCCTTCCGAGCATGAATCTCAACAACCAGGCCGAGAATCTCTACAAGAAGTAAGCAGCGAGATTATACCTACAGCCAACCTTGCTGCATAAAACTACATTCACTGAGGAGCTTCCCTGTTGCAAAAATTTTTTAACCACATGACATAAGGGGTCACCTAAAGACAGTATAGGATCAGTAAATTTTCTGGCAGTCTCTAATACAGGATAGGTATAATAAATATAGCCCCATAAGCACCAAGACCACGTCCAATGTCTCAAATATTTACTTTCTCACATGTTCAATTTGGTAGGCCAAGTCGTGAGAGGGCTTTGAAACAAGCGAGCATCGATTTAAAATATCGCGAGCCAAGAGACAAAAAATAAAATCAGAGAAAGGCAGAGAGGTCAACCGGAAATTAGAGCATCCGGTTTGCTGCCCTGCACCAAGAGAAAGGGGAAGAAAGATGAAAAAGAAAGCGAAGAGAGAATTACACGCGCGAAAAAAAAAGATAGCATATCCACGGGGTGAATGATGGAGAGTGGGTTGTCGTACGTCGCGATCTTGTGGGCACCGCCGCGCAGCTTCTTGGCACGCTTCTGCCTCGCGCGCTCACCTATCAGGGTTCCGTCTTCGAGCATGCTGCTCTGGAGCCTTGTCCACGCGCATGCCGCTCTGCAGCCTCGTCCATCCAGCAACCTACTGAACGCGCCCGCGTGCCAGAACGGATTTCATTTTACTGGACCACGCCCCCGAGCGTACGGCGCCGCCGATGAACACGCGATCGCCGACGTCTTCATCTGACGTCATTCCTATTTTCTCGCGCGCTCGCACATCGGGGTTCCGTATTCGAGCGTGAGCTGCTACGTTTTGCACGTGTCATAGTTTTGATCGACGAACCGTGAATCATCTGCTGGCGGCGTCCGTCCGTCGTCTGTCTGTCTGCCTCTCTGTTTGACGCATAGACGGACAGATCGACGGATGAACGAATGCAGGGACGGACGGAAGCAGAGACAGATGGACGCAGAGAAGGACGCACGCACGGACGGACAGATGCACATATGGACGCACGGATGGACGCATGAGAGAACGAATGGACGCATGGACGGATGCACGAATGGATGGACGTATGAGCGTATGGACTCACGGATAGAAGGAAGCATGGACGCACTGACGGACGCTTCACCCCAGTCATCATCATTCACTCAATGAATATACTGTTATTTTATTATTTCACATACCACAAGTATTATCCTGTAGTATCGTACCATTTGCATTTTTCAGCGTATATGCATTTCGTTATATGTATACACGAACCACCCTTACGGGTGGTTCAAGAAGTAACAAGAGGGGGCTACTTACGATTACGACGGGACGCTCAGCCCACGCCTTAAGGAGCTTCGCTACTAAAAAAGTGCGGAGGTGTTGAGGCCTACTGAAGAGGCCACTGCCATGCAAAAAAGTTGAATAAGACCTTGACTGATTTTTTGTGCGAAGAAAGATTGTATCGGTTTTCGAGCACTGCACAGACAGCTGCTGCATTAGACACTTGTCAGAACAATCGTGAGCCAAACATTCTCAACAAGGTACGCGATTGTCGATGGCCACTAGCTAGGCCCTTATTGTGAGGGTGGGATATCTGAATAGCATAGCTTCATGGTGCGTTCATGTTCCAATAATGGCTTCCTTACATAATGCTTCTTCGCAGTTTATTTTAACGTTCCCTGAATGCTTAAATGCCCAAACTGTACGCCCATGCACCTTAGTGAGTTTTACCCTAGAGATAGCCATAATGGCTTAATTTTCTCAGATCCAGTTTCTTTCATTCAACTCTCTCCTTTAACGAACAGGGCCCTCGCTGTTGAGCCGGATCCACGGGTGATGCACAACCTCGCTGTGTTTTACGTCAGTGCTGGCCGCCTGGATGAAGCAAGGCAACTGTTTGAGAATATTGACAGGCGTTTCCCGGAGAACCGTGAAAGCAAGGTCCACTATGTGAATGGCGGACGCCAACGAGAACTTTGAGTCACCAGTCAAATATTTGTAACACCTAGTATAATGCAACGTTAGGCAGCACGGGCTGGTCTTTTTCACACGCGAGAAACATCAAACTAGAGGTGACAGACCATTAGTGTTATGCATTTATTACTGGATCACTTACATAAAAGCTTCTGTCTTTCCATTTGGTAATTACCGTAAGGTAGGTTACTTGTAAGAAATTCTAAGCAGGGTTTTCAAGTAAACGCGGAAGTTCATTGCCCTTTAGAAATAAAATATCTGCAAGACTAGCACAATATTCTTACGTAAAGCATATTTTGAGCAAAGTGGACTGACCTTGACGGCTGATGCATCTGGTATTACGCGCCCAAGTGAAAACGTTTGTTTTGTAGTGGAAATTTTATGTAAAATTTATTTTAGAAAGCTAGTTATGTAACACGATCTGAGGGGGTGTAAGAGTAGCAGAAGATGCGGCATGCATTTAAATTAGCTTTCATTATCGAAAGGTATATGTTGAGAGGAAATATTAACGCATTTAATAAAATATGAAATGAATGTTCAGGAGTGTGTGCAATGTAAAGGGGGCATAATTTTGACTGTGTTGAGGTTGATGCCAATGCGATCTTGAAATATATAACGTGAGATGTGAAATTTGTGCGAAAGTTGCGTGATTCTACATTAGCAGTTAAGGCACTGCTGCATTTATATTACTAAAGTGACTGTTTTTCTATGACTGAGCGTCTTTGTATTTGTGCTTGGCCATGTGACTATTGTTCAAGATTGAAGATACTGTCGAAAACAATTGACTGATTTTTATTCTAACTGCATTTTCAGGCTCAACTCCTAATTCAACTCCGAAGTTTTCAAGCAGCGGAGGACCTCCTACTGCACATGATGGAACACAACAGCACCGACAGAGAAGCCTTGCACATGGCTGCCATTTTGTACAACCACATAAACCGCACAGTCGAGGTATTCCTTACCTTACGTGAACAAATCCATCATTTATTTTTGTTTGTATGCAAACGAATAATGCGACTGTGCATAAAAATTGAGCTGCCTATCAATGTGTATTTTGGGTGATCACGCTTGATATTGCCGTTATTTATTATTCTCTTAGTATTCATGTAAAAAATATTAATGGTCTCGTTCATGTTTTTAGACTTTACATAATGCAATAGCGGGGCGTAATGCTGCAAATTTTGTATCATTGTTGGCCACTTAGCCTATGCCTCAGGTGACTTGATTTCTTACAAACATTTCATGGTTCCACTTTACCCTTTTACGCTTGTAAAGAGAATTTAGAGCACATATAAATATTGTTTTTCAATGGAAATCTGCTTCAGGCAGCAATGTGTATCTAGGCCATTAAAATTGAAAGACAAAGTGCCTAGCAAGTATATAAACTGTGTACTCGTGTATGGAGCAGCCAGGTTTCATTTCTAGCCACGAATTGGAGATGTGAATCACTATTTTTGTATGTCAGATTTATACAAATTTGTTGATGGCGACTGATTATTCGTTTAATTATTTAGCATATTTCATGCCGGATGCTCTCCCACAACGTTACAACTCTTCAAGATGCTGTAAGAAGGACCAAAAGTATAAATAACTCGTTGTGAATACTAAACAATTTATTGTGTTCTTTACAAGTACATGTCTTATGCAGCTGCACTCTTTTGAATAATCACTATGCCATTCGTATACCATAATTAAAAAATTAATAATTGCTTATCATGATGATTGATTGACTGATATGTGGGGTTTACCATCCGCAAACCACTATATGATAATTATAGATGCCGTAGTGGAGGAGGCCAGAAATGTTTACCACCGGCGGCTCTTTACCTTGAACCCAAATTTGACAAACGGCCCTACAAAAAGTAGATAATGCTGTTGCGCCTTTTTTTTCTTTTACGGTGCTTATTACTCCTACTTGTAAACAGCTCCGCTAGCATACTTTTTCTTTTGATCAACACGATTTATTCTAACGTTTTATGACTGTCGTGGGTACATACCTGTGTGTTGCTTTTGCTGTTATTATGACATGACCAAGGCCGATAATTATAGAGCATCTTGCTTCGTCTGCCGAGAATGTTTCCTCAGCTGTCCTGAATACAATTGATGAATGCACAAACTTCTGTACATTCTTGTAATGATGTTTCTGATCGATAAATTATTGATCACAATGTTTTCGAATGCTCGCTAATGTTTCAGGCACTGAACTACATATTGAGGGCTTTGAAGCTGTGCGATGTTGATGATCCCCTTTGTGCAAAAATACACAGTGACCATGGTGACATACTGAAGGACTTAGGTGATCTCAGCACTTCGGCCCAGGTTTGTACAAGGCACGCCCTTTTATTAGAGTACACTGTCTTTGACGCGATGAAGTAGCTTGGACAGAATAATAATTTGCTGCAAGCCAAAGCAAAGCCCAAACTCTTGCTTAAGGTCTTTATTTTATTTCTGTTCATTCTTCCATAGCTCGTAATGCTATTTTTGGACAAAATTTTGCAAGTATATATAGGGGTTCGTACATGGTAGCATTATGAGCTAAAATATTATAAAGCCACATTCTATTTCAGAGGCATATATTGATAAAATTTGATATTTTGTTACCTTTTACCACATTTCAAACGCACCGAGTTTTGTGAAATGATGGTGCGTATTTATTTTATTTAAAAGAATGACATTTCGCAAGACATAACATCACGCGATGTCACGGTATATATCTCTAATACTACTTAGATAATTATTTGTTTCCAATAAGTGATTTTTTATTGAAATGCAGACATTCCATGTTCTCGCACCTTTCACGGTAGAATCAATAACGTTCACATTTCACTATGTGCACATATATTGTGTCCTTAGGCGTGTAAATTCTGCTGAAAAAATTTCACTTCACATGTTTTAAAAATATTAACTATAACTTTCAAAGAATAGCAAATTTTTATGAATCTTTTCCCACGGGAGTGTGGCAAGCATAGCTAAGAGGCATCTGCTCAATTTCGTTTCATTTATACGACCTATATCGATTGTGTTTCATGAAAATACCATACATAAAAACAGGTGAAACACTGAAAGTGCTATTTGTTTTCTGTTTCAGAGCTACGAAGTCGCAATTCGTTTGGATCCTGATATCGCTCACGCTCATCTAAACCTTGCTGTGATAAGGCACTTGGAGGTTAGTTAGCTTTGGTGTTGCGAAATGTAGTAAAGCATTGCAACAACTGGTTTAATCATGCATGAATAAATATTTTCTTTGCTAACACGTGATACTTCATTGCTCCACTCGTGCTTAAACGACTGGTTATTGAAGGCAAAACCATTTGTGTAGGCTCTTTTAGCAGATTTTATGCTACACGTTTTGTTTCCAGAGTGACTACCAAGGTGCCTTTCTACACTACCAAGTGGCCTTGTCTCTAGACCCAAAGAACAAGCTCATCACGGACAACATGGCCAAGTTGAGGCGACGACTCACGAAGCATTTGCCGTTCCACGACTGTGTTTAGTGCTGGTGCGCCGTCGGAGTGCATTTACCGTGCCACTTCTTAGCAAATAGACAATAGTGCTTTGGACAGTGATTTCTAAAGTGGATTCACGAGTATCGCTGTCTGCGTTCCGTAAACTTTTACAGTGAGCATACAGATAATCCAATTTATTCGCTCCAATTGCAGAAAGGTCGTCACCGTACCCAAAAATGGGAACTAAGAGTGCCTTCGAGGTGTGTGTTACGTCAATTGTGCATTGAAATATCCCGTCCCGATTCACAGTACTGATAAAGGCACCCTCAAAAGAATTGTGAAAGCTTCCCGTTTGCAATAGGAAAGCTCATAATGGTTCAATGGCTTATTTTTATATACCGTGAAACTCGTCTGGCTTCGAGTTGCCGACAACTCGTGCAGTACATGCGCTTATTCAATGTCCACGGTATCGCCCATTGATTGTTTATGGCGTTAGTAAGGCATCACACCATGATCTCGTCACAACATGTTGCTGTGCATTGATCGACTGTCAATTATTTGCCATTGCTTTAATAGACGACTTATAAAAGATTTCTTCTACTGCATCCTATTGTTTCTTGAGTGCGAAAAAATATTACTGCACGGATGTTTCACGTACAGATTTTTTATACACGACATCTTAGAGATTGTTCTTGTGAATTGTTAAAATGAACCTATACAAAAGTGAAGGGCGACTACCATCCCCTTTTTTCATGTTGTTTTGTCATTACGCCTTTAGGCAGAAATGGAGAAAAAAGATAACAACTTGGATTACTGATTGTGCTACGTGTGTCAACCTTTGTACCTTCTTCCTCATTTTTAGCACTTGTGAGGTTTCATGTTTTGAAAGCTATTACTTCTTCCGAGCAGTGCCGTAAAACTATGCAACAACGTGCCTTGATTTCCAAATGTCAGTGTTGTTAGTGGGTGAGTTACTGTAACGTATTTTCTCTGCAAGTGTCACAGATTCGCTCATACACGGTTTGTCGCAGTGCATTGTCCTATGCGTTGTCGTATACGTGTTTAACAATTGAGCAGAAAGGTATACAGCACTGGAAGTAGTAAAAATTTCCCGTAAATAATCTGACGCCGGAATTGCGATGCAGCGCGTGTAAAAATTGAGCCTCTTTTTGGGACCTACAAAGTCTCTGCAAAACGTGTGTATGTTTCGCTTTACACGATGCAAAAGAAGCCATTCGTCATGAGTGCCGAGTGTCTGCGAGTGTATATTGGAAGTGTTGTTTTTTCATACTACTTAGAACAGCAGGGAGTTGAGGTAATTGACAAGCATTTATGACAACAGAAGTGCAGGCATGTAGACATGAGCACAACAGAACAGATGAGGACAACACGAACACACTGTTGACGTTGCCTTGGCCTGTTCTCTGGTGCCTGAGTCGGCCCGCTTTACTTCTTTTGCCGTCGAGCTGTTGCCTCGTAGAATATTCTTTATAATATTATTTATTTTACTCATAAATTCGTCGTTTAAACAAATGCGCAGTGGACTATTTGTCTGTGTGCTTACAATATTTAGAGGTCACGGAAAATTGAATGACACAGAAGTAGGAACACAGGAAAATGCTGCGAGTTCCTTCTGGGTAGGACAGCAGTGTCACATCTACCAAATGCCTATCGGCTATCGCAGAAGTGGCAGTATACGCTGTCTGTTTTTTTCAGCAGCAGCATACAGTTGCATAACCGCGTGCGACAAAAGCTGTATTACCGTAACAAAGCTCGAAGCACTGCAATGGAATGAGTGTACGTATGGTCAGGGAAGGCGTATACCAGTAGGAATGCTTCAAGTAGAAATAAACAATTGCCCATGTTCATAGATGTGATTAGAAGGAGCGAATAGCCCCCTTATGCCACTAATTTTTGGTCAGGCACTCCTCGGGTTTGTAATAATGTTCATAGTTTTGTCGTATGTTTCTGCCAAAGACAATGGCATTACATTTATTGTGTGATGGCAAATATTGTGTTATTTGAGTGGCATAACTATGCGTACGTGTCTTTTTTTGAAAGTAAACACAATATCCGAAAATATAGTTCAGCTCTAAGCGGCCTTCATGCAGCTTAGGTTCAAGAAAAAATTAGTTGGTGTTAATTGCGTATTGTGTGTCAAGTACAACAGACGAAATAGAACTGGCAGAGCTTTCGAAGTTGATTAATAGACGTAAAGTATGCGATGTAAGAAGGTATAACAGGGAGAGAATTGAACACGCTCTGAAAAACGGAGGAAGCTTCAAAGCAGTGAAGAGGAAACTTGGGATAGGCAAAAGTAGGATGTATGCACTAAGGGACAAAGAAGGCAAAATAACTACCAATATGTATAGGATAGTTAAAATAGCGGAGGAGTTTTACAGAGATATGTACAGTAGCCGAGACAACCACGACCTTAATACTATAAGAACTAGCAGTAACCCAGACGACAGCCCTCCAGTAATGATAGAAGAAGTCAGAAAAGCTTTGGAGAGCATGCAAAGACGCAAAGCTGCTGGTGAGGATCAGGTAACATCAGATCTACTGAAAGATGGAGGACAGATTGTGTTAGAAAAACTAGCCACCCTGTTTACGAGGTGTCTCCTGATGGGAAGGGTACCACAGTCTTGGAAGAACCCTAACATCATCTTAATACATAAAAAAGGAGATGACAGGGACTTGAAGAATTACAGGCCGATAAGCTTGCTCTATGTAGTGTACAAGCTATTTACAAAGGTAATTGCTAACAGAGTAAAGAAAACGTTAGAATTCAATCAACCAAAGGAACAAGCAGGATTTCGAACAGGCTACTCAACAATTGACCACATTCATACTATCAATCAGGTAATAGAGAAATGCTCAGAGTATAACCAACCACTATACATAGCCTTCATAGATTACGAGAAGGCGTTTGATTCAGTAGGAATATCAGCCGTCATGCAGACACTGCGGAATCAGGGCGTAGATGAAGTATATATAAACATTCTGAAAGAAATCTACAGGGGATCAACTGCTACCATAGTGCTTCATAAAGAAAGCAACAGAATACCAATCAAGAAGGGTGTAAGGCAGGGAGCACAATCTCACCAATGCTACTTACCGCGTGGTTACAGGAGGTATTCAGAAGCCTAGAATGGGAAGAGTTAGGAATAAGAGTTAGTGGAGAATACCTTAGTAACCTGCGCTTCGCCAATGACATTGCATTGCTGAGTAACTCAGGGGACGAATTGCAACTCATGATTACGGAGTTACACAGGGAGAGCAGAAAGGTGGGTCTTAAAATTAATCTACAGAAAACGAAAGTAATGTACGACAACCTCGGAAAGGAACAGCGCTTCGAGACAGGTAATAGTGCACTTGAAGTTGTAAAAGACTATGTCTACTTAGGGCAGGTATTAACCGCAGAGCCTAACCACGAGATTGAAGTAACTAGAAGAATAAGAATGGGGTAAAGAACATTCGGCAAGCACTCTTAAATTATGACAGGTAGATTGCCATTATCCCTTAAGAGGAAGGTATATAACAGCTGTATCTTTCCGGTACTTAGCTACGGAGCAGAAACCTGGAGACTCACAAAGAGGGTTCAACTTAAATTGAGGACGACGCAGCGAGCAATTGAAAGAAAAATGGTAGGTGTAACCTTGAGAGACAAGAAGAGAGGGGAGTGGATTAGGGGACAAACGGGGGTTAAGGATATCATAGTTGAAATAAAGAAGAGGAAATGGACATGGGCCGGGCATTTAGCGCGTAAACAGGATAACCGCTGGTCATTAAGAGTACTTAACTGGATTCCCAGAGAAGGAAAGCGGGTTAGGGGGAGACAGAAGGTTAGGTGGGCAGATGAAATTAAGAAGCTTGCGGGTATAAATTGGCAGCAGCAAGCACAGGGCCGGGTTAACTGGCGGAACATGGGAGAGGCCTTTGTCCTGCAGTGGACGTAGCCAGGCTGATGATGATGATGATGATGATGATGATGAATTGCGTATTGTGGGTGTTCATCGTATTCAAAAGGTTTCACACGCCAAATAACCTGCCTTGCTTCAACTATAGCTAGATAACGGAGTCTTGACGGCCGGATGACCTTGCAGGCGCCGTTATTTGTTTCGGCTTACTTCACCAGAGTCTGGCAAGGGTAGATCTTTTTTCAGAAAAGTGCCTCACTGTTTCAATAATCTTGTCAAAACTAGCGTGTTCACGGCGTTCATCAACATTATTGCTTCCTGACGTGCAATCATCCTATTGATATGTTTCAGTAGTCCACCAGAAGTGTTGTCGCCAAGCTGTGGGACGTTTTTGTGAATATTTTTTTCTAAGAGATAGGTCATACTTTTTCTTGACGTCAAACAAGCGAATCTCCGTTTCGTACACCAATTTTTAATATTGTACAATGAGATAAATTCGCTCGCATATCTGTCTCGTATGTGCGCTTGTTTGTCACCGCATGTAGTGAGACTCATTCTAAGATTTGTCATCCCATCCATGTAGGTCTGAGTGTTTTTCGTGTGTTTCAAGTTTGTAAAAGACTTCATGTTTTCATGTCTCACACTTCAAAAGAGAAAAAAAAAGTGATCTGTTTGTAAAATTCTGTCTCGTTTTCAATTTGTGTGCTGACAGCCGCTTCTTGTTCTCGCTATTGCAAAAGTGCGTGTGATCATATCTAGTGCAGCCTTTGGTCTCTACGCGACCTCGAAACTTACCTCTACTGTACGGTCTGCTGCATAATATGTGGAGAATAACCTGTCTGTCAATATTAGGAACTTCACCTTCTTTACAGTGATAGCGAAAAACGTACTTGTAAAGATAACTACCGATGATGTCAACATGAAACTGATGATGTCTTCAAAAAATATAAACACCATTCAACAAGGTCGAGGTGACTTACCTGTCGGCCACGCAAGTTAATTTGTAAACGTTATTTGCAGTTTTGTAGACCAGTAGCATCTGTCATATTTAGCTGCTTTCGACACTGAAGTGCCTTTAGGTACGACAAACACAATGAAAGCGTCGGTGAACCGCCTGTCACCTGCGAT